TATTTCCTAGTATCGATACAATCGATTTATTACATTTCAAAACGATGTTAGATTGATATATGTTGTCCAAAAGGCCAACTCGCCGAGCACAGATCGATGTAGTTGGATCATAGGAATATAAATCGATACATCGATGTAGTAGATGGATCGTTACACCCCTAGATTCTTCCCTTAATAGCCACCCTTTGCCTTGATGACAGCTTTGCACACTCTTGTTTTGATGTTTCTATGACAAAAGTTACTTTACCTCGGTTTGAGTTTGTAGCTGCTAGTTAGTACACTGTTGTAGTCAGACATGGTTTAGCTAGTACCACCATAGCTGCATCCAATATTTATTTGTGCCCTTAGACATGGGTTGCACCTGGGAGGCGTGACTGTTTTGTCTAAATTACACTAACTGTGATATGGAAATACGATGACATTACTAAAGTAGGCAAATAATTATTAGGAAACAACTTTGTCTTTAGAGAGATGGCAATGTTGTCATTACTGTTGCTAGCTAGCAAAGTTAATCAAAAATAGCTAGTGATGTTAATGTTAGCTAAAATACGGTGCTCCCCTCAATCTTAGTTTGCTGGCTAAAGTTATACTGCATCTAAAGTCAATCTGGCGACATCGCAATCCTGACAAAAGGTTTTCGTACTAATTATTTGTCTTCTTTTGAAAGGTTATTGTATTTCCAATCCAAATCCAAGTTGTATTGAGGTAGGCTAATGTTCGGTAGCTGGCTAGCTCATTAGATAGCTAGCAAAAAAATTAATAAAAATAAAAAGAATATTAAAAAGCAAACATACGAAGACAGAAAAATGTAGCTAGCTAGTTAGGTAGCTAGCTAGCTCACGTCAGCTATGCCAGCGATGATAATGATTATCAAAATATACATAACCAGCAGTCTATGGTCTAGCTACCGGTATACTAACCCCCACATATATGGCTTTTCAGTCTCAAACGGCTGTGATCCTTTGATTTGAATGCTTTGGGGGTGGTCTAAGTGGCGCAGTGGTCTAAGGCACTGCATCGCAGTGCTAGCTGTGCCACTAGAGATCGTGGTTTGAATCCAGGCTCTGTCATACGGGGAGACCCATGGGGCGGTGCACAATTGGCCCAGGGTAGGGGAGGGAATGGCCGGCAGGGATGTAGCTCAGTTGGTAGAGCATGGCGTTTGCAACGCCAGGGTTGTGGGTTCGTTTCCCACGGGGGGCCAGTATGAAAAATTTAAAAAATAATGTACGCACTCACTAACTGTAAGTCGCTCTGGATAAGAGCGTCTGCTAAATGACTAAAATGTAAAAATGATGAAACAACGTAGCCCTTTATGAAAAAAGATTGCTGTCAGAGTGCAGGCTGTAAAATACTGCGTCCAAAACAACACCGTTTTTTTTACTGCAGTAATTTTGCAGTGTAACTGCAGTTAGAGTGCAATTTCCTTCCAAAATACCACAGTTGACTGCAGTTACTGAACTTTTATTGTAGTTTCAAAGCCCGGGTTACCCCGGTGGGAGGACTTTGAACCGGGTGAAAAGTGATTGCATTGGTTTGGAACCGGGCTGCCTCCCGGGCATGAGACAGGTGCCCCGCTCTGGCCGACGGCGATGTCGGCTGAAAACAAAAGTGACTTAATGATGTGATGAGTAGGATTCTGTGTTTTCACATGCAAAAGTGATTGCTTTTGATAAAAACGCGTTATCTGCCTTCCCAAAATTCGATCCCGCTTTAAATGATGTGCAGCTTATAAAGGCTTCATAAAGCCTACAGAAAGCCTTCATATAAACTACATAAATGTGTCACAAATAATCTATAACCGTATGTCATGCTCTATAAAGGGTTCATAAATGTGGCAAAACTGTGTGACATAACCACCGATGTTAAATGTGACATAACCCACTATGTCACATATGACCTGTGTTTTATAAAGGGTGGCATAAGCACTGCTTAATAAAGGCTTTATAAATAATATTCAATTGAGGCTTCACAAAGCATTTATAACTTTGTCATGCATCTTGGTAGAGCATTGCAATGCCAGGATAGTGGGTTGTATTCCTGGGACCACCAATACGTAAAAATATATGCACGGATGACTGTAAGTAGCTTTGGATAAAAGCGTCCGCTAAATTGTATATATTATATTATATTACTCTAAAACATTTATAGGATGGCCCAACCTCTTTCCCTCTTGGGTGCATAGCCAACATTGGACCTGACGGACCTCAACTTTCCCCAAAATGCTGTGCTGCAGGATGACACACACTTTAAAGGGCAGTAATGCACAGCAAAAAACGTTGGTAGGGCCTTTTAAAATCAGTTTGTATTTTTGCCTAATTAAATTTTTTTGCCTAATTCCGTTTTCTCTGTTTTGTTTTTCCAGGTTTCGGATTCCATACACATTTCATAACAATAGTTCTACAGGCTCCGAGACACGCAAACTTCAAACACAGGACACTATGGAATATGGAAATAAAGAAACGTATTTGTTGTCAGTGTAGCAAGTGTTCATGTGCACCTGAACATCACATCCACTGGGAGGATTGCAAAATGGTAAATTATTGCATTTAAATATGAAACTGAAATGCTTCACAATGCAACTTCACCAAACATTTCCTGTACACAAAATTAGCCTTGCGCACAATAAATACCCATGATACTGGCAAAAGAGGAAAGGACAACAATATATACATTTAAGAGAAATCAATTACTAGTGTAGCTTGGAAAAAGTGGGCAGGATTTGTTTACATAATTGTAATCCAATCTCAATCTTCATTTACTCGCTGTGACGCACTGAGGTTCAAAACTCTGTTTAGATAAGACTGACTTTATGACCAAAATTATCCTATTTACACGTTGTATTCAATTTTGACAGTAGAATGTTTTCAGACTCATATCGATGCACATAGGCCTTTTTCAAAGGGATTAGTTGGTTTCTAGGGGCAGTCGCTCTTCAAAATTCCCTAATATGAGAAACTACGCTAATATTTGTGTAAACTCTTCACAGTTGTGTTCTGTGCGTGTCACTGAGTAGGCTGATACTCCATTTCATGAACCCAAGATCCATATGTAAGGCTGTACATTGCAATATGAATGTCAATACGCACAATAGGCTGTATAGTGAGGTAATTTCCCACAGTTAAAGCTCCCTAATATAATATTTGTGTAAACTCTTCAGAATTGTAATCTGTGGGTCACCAAGTAGGTTTATCTTGTCCAAATATGGCATGATTCCACTATTTGTATCCGTTTGAATCACTTCCAATTGGGAACTTTTATTCTGAAGGCGAACCTCATTCCACTATTGTGGCTCATCCTTATTGTGGCTACTTTCACACAGGTGTCATGTTTGGAGGACGCTGCAGTCAGATGCACTGCGGTAAAAAGAACGCCAGACAGGGAGCGAGAAGTGTGTATTATTCACAATGCAAGCCCGGGATAAACATCTCTTCTAGGCCTACATGTCCAGGGTCATTTGATGGGTGGAATAATTTTTGCAACTCAAAAGAACTTCGCTTCATTAAATAATTTGTTGATCCATCAGAAGGAAAGGATAGCCTACATTTTCCCCCAGAGAAAGGACAAATCGGCATAAGGAGGCTATTTTTTTTTTTACACAAGGGACAGCGTGAGGACAGTAAAATGTGAGACAATGCAAATGATGATTATTTAAACCAAATAGCGCAATAACACATTTACAGTGTCCCTAAAAAAAGTAAATATAATTGGTATGTTTCTTATTTAGCCTAGGCCTTCTTTCTTGTGGCATGCAATTCATTATTAATGTAGCCTATGCAGTGGCTTGCAATTTTACAGTAGCCTATTTAAACCATAGGCCTACAATGTCGATTATTCAAATAAGCATCATATATAACCATGTCAATATAATTTAGAACTAGGCCTATTATTGTAATAGAATATCAGATTACAGTTGGTATAAATAGCCTATAAAGATAATAGCCCAGTACATTTGATATTAAGACTTCAGGGAACTGATAATCCCAGGCCAGTGTTTAGATTTGTAAACACTGTGTGTCAACAAAGATCTGGAACAATAGGAAAAACTGACCATAATCATAGCTATAGTTTAGGGATGTGTAGGCTATCTTGTAGCAACAATAATCAGATCAATGTTGCAATAAACATTGTAACCAATGTTTAACTTGTTAATTTAAGCCAAAGAACTGAAGCACTTTTATTTGCTAGATTTAAATGTAAAAAAAAAATGTAAAAAAAGAAGAAGTGTATATTGGCTGCAGTGATCTTTTTAAGGGAGGCTTTTAAATAGGCCTACTGTATATTAAATTAGCACTCTTAGCCTTTATTGTGTATTCTACTTGTTCTCTAGTAAGTCTCTCCTTGGCCTATTGGCCTTATCTTTGCACTTTATTGAATTGAAATTATCAAGCTCCAGAGTTTTCCTAAAACACTTGAATTTTAAAAAAATATTCATGGTAATACTTGCATGTATCCTGCATGAAAAAGCATATCAAAACAGTAGCCTATGTAACATAATTAATTCATTAATGCAAAAGTCTTTGATAAAAAGATTGTTTCCATTTAAAGAGAAGTGCATGGCACTAAGAGCATGGCGCCTGCAACGCCAAGATGGTGGGTTCTATTCCCGGGAGCACCCGTGAGTAAAATGTATGCATGCATGACTGTAAGTTGCTTTGGATAAAAGCATCTGCCAAATGGCATATATTATTATTATTATTATTATTATTATTATTATTATTATTATATCAAGTGTTGTTTGAAGGAATTTAACACACGTCAAATGTATTATTGATGGTGTTGGGATTCCTATTTTTGTTATTTCTAAGGTCATTTCGGAGGAAGCAACTTCAGTCCCTACGATTTCTTACTTTGCTCAAACAACGTCTTTCTGGATAACATCTCAAACAAATATCTTACTCTCAAGTGTTCAAAGACATTGTTGGGATATTTTTTGATACCTTTTGAGGCTTCTCGGCCCTAGGATCTGTACTAACGTTGCTACATTACACCTTGAGGACATGTCTGCTGTGCGGCTGCTGCTCCTGTCTCTGCTTTGTTCCCACTTTGGTAAGTGGAGATGACCACCTTTGTAGATTGACCATTTGTGGATAGACAACATCTTTCAATATATGGATATTCTTCTGTATACTGTTGAATTATGAAGCTACCCATTTCTAATATCAAAATATTAAGCACTAATAACATCTCTTCTCTTTCCTGTAAACAACAGTGTCCCTGTGCCATGGGGCCTGTTCAGAGGTGGACTCGGACACTGAGGCCGTTGCAGGCAAAGGGTTCAAACTGGGCTGCATCTCCTGTAAAATGAGGCCCGAGGTGGAAGCTTCTGCCACAGTCGACTGGTATTTCAAGGCCAAAGGGGAAGCTGACTTTGCACATGTGAGTATCTGAGATGGATTATGATTGCTATAGTATTCCAAATTACTACCAACTGTAGTAGATTGTAGGATTAGGGTTGGGGTTTTGTTTGTTCTGGTGCCACATAAAACATGCTGCCACTATAGTCCACAGTCTGTTTAGAGTATGCCAGCGGTAGTCCTCTAGACAATGCTGTCTTATGACACATGACCTAGAGCCCATCCCTAAGCACACAACCACAAGGCACAACACACAAAGTTATGCACGCACACATGCACACTCATGCACACACCACAATGCCCAACCATGATATGGCAGAGTGTTGCGTGTGGTTCAGATGGAATTAATCTGGATGACATTTTAGATCTCAGAGATCCACTGGGACAGCCGATAGGCAGATAGGCTCACAGCTACTTTATGAAACTTTGAGTATACTTTCCTACTCAAAGAACCTCTCTCAAAACACAGTTGTATCATTTTGAGTCCATTATCTTGGATGTTGCCAGATACGGGTGGCGATCTAGGAAATGAAACCGGAGAGATTTTCAGTGCCAGGTAAACGACCCAGATGTCATTGTGTCATTAGATATATAATTACAATGAGGGCCCCCACATTGTGGATGAGCGCTTCGAGGACCGCGTGGACTGGAACGGCAGTAAGAGGAGCCAAGACATACAGGATGCGTCCATCTACCTCTTCAATGTCACCTTTAACGACTCAGGCACCTACAGTTGCCACTTCCACCGGCTCCTGACGTACGAGTTCTACGAATACCAGACCGTTGTCAGCAAGCTTGTGCACCTGAAAGTGGTGGCTAAAGGTTCAGTATTACTATACAGACAAATACTTTTGTATGCAATTTGAATTCCAATGTTATTTATCCCAATTGTTAAGTGCTTTGTAAGTGCTAAGAGCCTATGTGGTGCCTTTTGAGAGCTTTGACTCCCCGCTCTCTCCCGCCATCTCTCTCTATAGCCACCAGAGGGACGGCCTCCATAGTCTCTGAGGTGATGATGTACGTGTCCATCATCGGGCTACAGGCTTGGCTCTACATAGAGATGGTATACTGCTTCAGAAAGATCTCAGCTGCAGGAGAGGAAGCAATACGAGAAAGCGCGTAAGTAACACTGTAACCCTACTTCCTCTCCTGCAGCTGTATCCTTTCGTTTTAGGTCCTCTATTACTGTCTCCCTCCATATAATCTCACTGTCCTTTTCTTGTCTGTTCTGTACCTGTCCATCCTGTTGATTTGTGTTCTCTCCTCTCTCTTCCAAAGTGCTGAGTAGTGCAATTCCTCTGTTCTTCCTTGTTCAATATTCTCTCCCTGTACTCAGTCTTTCTCTCTATCTTCGTCTTCCTTGCCACTCCCATTTTCTCTCACTCTTTCCTCCCTGTGTCCCGCAATCGTCACATTTGCCACTCTCTAGAAAAGCCAAAGAAGGTACAACATTTGTTTGCTTGCTTCAGCAGTCTAGAAGTATGTTTTCTAGTTGTGTAAAATGTTTAAATTGCTTAAAGGCTCATGTACAATTAAAGCTGAATAGAAGTTGAAGGAGTTAAATATAGTTGTGTCAGGAGGAAACTCATGTATTCCATTGACATCACATTTAATTGAACATATAAATGTGTATGATAATAGATTTGGCCTTGGTGTTTAGGCTGTGCTCCGCGGGGTAGTACCAACTTGGGGAAAGTACTCAGTCAATTTATATGATCAAAACCAAGCTATAGGTAGGGTTCTAGAAGAAACTAACCAAAAGCAGGTGGGGCTGGGGGGCTGGTTGGCAAAAGCGCAGCAGTTACAAGCGATGATGTTTGCTGAATGGCCAAACTGAATAAGCTGCCATTAAAATAAATGATGTTCAGTCTCTGATTGGATGTTAGCTCAGCTGACACTGCTTGCTTTGCATCGCTACATTAAAGCAATAAGTCTGGTTACTTAAGTTGGATGGATGGTTGCTTGATGGAAGGATAAAGGAAGCTATTATGGATGGATGGATGGATGAATGGAAAAAGGAGTACTGAATGAAGGTTAGAGGGGTTGTTGGATGGATATAGAGGTTAGAGGGCTAAGTGGATTGATAAAGAGAGGTTATGAATGAATAGATTAAGAGAGGTTGAAGTGGAATAGACGTAGGAATAGTAGGAGATATGCAGTGTAGTTATTACTGGTCACTTTAATCAAGTTTACAGTGCCTTCGGAAAGTATTCAGACCCCTTGACTTTTTCCACATTTTGATATGTTACAGCCTTAATCTAAAATGGATTAAATAAATAAAACTCCTCAGCAATCTACACAATATCCCATAATAAAAAACAGAAATACCTTTATTTACATAAGTATTCAGCCCCTTTGCTATGAGACTCGAAATTGTGCTCAGGTGCATCCTGTTTCCATTTTTCATCCTTGAGATGTTTCTACAACTTGATTGGAGTCCACCTCTGGTAAATTCAATTGATTGGACATTATTTGGAAAGGCGCACACACCTGTCTATATAAGGTCCCACAGTTGACAGTGCATGTCAGAGCAAAAACCAAGCCATGAGGCCGAAGGAATTGTCTGTAGAGCTCCGAGACAGGATTGTGTCGAGGCACAGATCTGGGGAAGGGTACCAAAACATTTCTGCAGCATTGAAGGTCCCCAAGAACACAATGGCCTCCATCATTCTTAAATGGAAGATGTTTGGAACCACAAAGACTCTTCCTAGAGCTGGCCACCTAGCCAAACTGAGCAATTGGGGGAGAAGGGCCTTGGTCAGGGAGGTGACGAAGAACCTGATGGTCACTCTGACAGAGCTCTAGATTTGCTCTGTGGAGATGGAAGAACCTTCCAGAAGGACAACCATCTCTGCAGCACTCCACCAATCAGGCCTTAATGGTAGAGTGGCCAGACGGAAGCCACTCCTCAGTAAAAGCCACAAGATAGCCCGCTTTGAGTTTGCCAAGAGGCACCTAAAGACTCTCAGACCATTATCTGGTCATATGAAACCAAGATTGAACTCTTTGGCTTGAATGCCAAGCGTCACGTCTGGAGGAAACCTGCCACCATCCCTACGGAGAAGCATGGTGGTGGCAGCATCATGCTGTGAGGATGTTATTCAGTGGTAGGGACTGGGAGACTAGTCAGGATCGAGGGAAAGATGAACGGAGCAAACTACAGAGAGATTCTTGATGAAAACCTGCTCCAGAGTGCTCAGGATCTCAGACTGGGGTGAAGGTTCACCTTCCAACAGGACAACAACCCTAAGCACACAGCCAAGACAACGCAGGAGTGGCTTCAGGACAAGTCTCTGAACGTCCTTGAGTGGCCCAGCCAGAGCTCGGACTTGAACCCGATCGAACATCTCTGGAGAGACCTGAAAATAGCTGTGCAGCAACACTCCCCATCCAACCTGACAGAGCTTGAGAGGATCTGCAGAGAAGAATGGGAGAAACTCCCCAAATACAGGTGTGCCAAGCTTGTAGCATCATACCCAAGAAGACTCAAGACTGTAATCGCTGCCAAAGGTGCTTCAACAAAGTACTGAGTAAAGGGTCTGAATACTTATGTAAATGTGATATTTCAGTTGTTAATTTTTTTTATGAATTAGCAAAAATGTAAAACAAAAACGGTTTTAGCTTTTTCATTATGTCAACTATTTAATCAATTTTAGAATAAGGCTGTAACGTAACAAAATGTGGAAAAAGTCAATGGGGTCTGAATACTTTCCGAAGGCACTGTACATACTGTTTTACCCACTTCATATGTATATTCTGTATTCTAGTCTCATCCTATATACACTGTCACTACTGCTGTACACACCTTTTCTATTCATATACTGTCCATTCTGTCTATACACACCATCATATACCTTACAGTATATTTATATTCTGGACTCAACATTGCTTGTTCTGATATTTCTTAATTTCTTTCTTTTGGGGGGGTGGGGTGGGGTGGGGGGGGTGTATTGTTTGGTATTACTGCACTGTTGGAGCTAGAAACATAAGCATTTCGCTGCATCTGCGAGAACATCTGCAAAATATGTGTATGCGACCAATATAATTTTATTTGAAACGAGAGTGGTTAGAATGGTTATAGATGGATAGATAGATGAATAAAGGATGAATGGAGGGATGAATGATTAAGTTTAGGATGAAACATAGAGATAGTTAGAGGAAGCAACATTGTATCTGTCCCACTATGGCGTCTATGAGAGCATGGGCAGCGCCATTGGGGCCATCTCCATTTTGAAGTAGTCAATCTTCTTCTTCTAATACTTCTATGAGTTGGTAAAGAAACTGAAAGGGTGCATACTGCCACCTGGAGTGGGATGTTTGAACATGTATAAAGCCAAGGCACCTGCAGTTATGGAATGTTTGCTCACAAGTATAATTAATTGGCTGATCCCTCCTGATGGAAATATGTGATCCTTCCTTAACCAATGGTGAATGTCCTTAATGGCTCTGCCCATGCTAAAATTGTATTTTGGGCACTAAAGTCCTCTATCTATGTCTATGGGATGAAATCGCTCAGGTTTTTAGGTAATAAGCAGACGATATTCTAACCACTTATATCTTTCTCCTTTCTTTCCAGGAATGCAGAATATTTAGCTATAGCCTCGGAGAGTAAAGATAACTGTGCAGGAGTGCAAGTGGCAGAATAAACCAAGTATATCATGAAAAAAAACTGTTATCAGCAAGTAAAAGGATAAGTAAACTCAAAGCATAAACAATGTAAATGCAGTACAGTAGCCTACACAATTCAAGTATCGGAGTGAACATTGCTATGGGCACAGCCAAACAACGGACGTGATGGATTCGACTTCTGCTTTACATCCCTACTGCAGCGAGCTGGAGTCAAGTAAACAAGTATAAGTCAGTGCAAGTGTATAAGTGTCATTTAATTTTTATTTAATTCAAGTTCGCTAATGTTAGCTAGACCTACTAGTAGGCTACTTCTGTTGTGGTAGAGTTAACTAAGGCCCGGGCCATCCACCAAGCCAATAACTCTAACGATAACTATAATAATAAACTATAGGCTACATACCTATAAAACGTTGGTGAGCTTCCACCCTAGAGGAAAGTTTATAGTTTATCGTTCTAAAGTCCTACACCTGTTAATCAACTGATCAAAGCATCCTACTGCAGGCTGCCTATTAATAAGGTGGTAGTAACACAAGACCATTCATGAGGTCTCTAACGCACAGAGAGGCTACTGGTTCAGAGTGACCATTCAGTGCTTTCAGGGTGTGTTCATTGTGAACTGCAAATAATAGGCTACTTCAATGTACATGTAGGCATAATGAAAAATGATATAGTAAATTGTATTTAAATTTAGTGATTCAACAACAAACGCCATTAAGCCTGCACATATTTTACTGCATGCCATTGCCTTTTTGCTCAAGTTGTTTGCAAGTGATTTCCATTTTCCTAAAGGTTGTCAATTTCTTTGGGTCTTCTTTTTCACTGTGCTCATCTCCGTCTGTCCTGTGCAACTATTTGCAATGCTTCAGTGCAACAGTGTTATCATAACTGGCCAAAAGTGATCACACCAATGCACTTTCCCACCTCAACTTTCCTCGACATGCATATTCTATGCTGCTGTAGGCCTGTTTTACATTCAGCAATTAGCAAGAGCAAGCCTGCTTCTTTCCCCAAATAGGCTATTAGGCCTAATATAAAAAGGTAATCAAAATAGCTATAGCTTTTGTAGCCTATAGCTTTCACTGGGATTTCTCGCGAAGAGTAATGTCCTATTTCGGAGAGGCTTGCAGCATATAGCCTGTTGCGCACCGGAACAGCTGGAAGAGAGAGGCTAGTGATATGTAGCCGAAATAAGAAGCTAAATATTAGCTAGATATTAGGCCATTCACTAGCAAAATATTAAACTATAGGCTAAATATTGTTCTCAAGTGAATACGCAATTATTGTCCCTGAATAATTTGAATAACCGCTCACACATCCTGTTTTGTTTCATGCCGAACTAACTGCATAGGCCAACAGCATAGGCCTGATTATACAACCATTTGGATCTCCTTTCCAGTTTATGTCTATCCTCAACAGTGTAGAAGGTCCAGAAAGGTACATTATCAGGCCACTCATATGGTGTAGACCTATTTTGTCAGGATGTAGCCCGGTGTT